GGTAAATCCCAAGGTCTGTGTAGCAGGCAGCGCAAACACTTCATTCCAACAAAAAGGCTTACTATCGAAAAAGTAAGCTCTTTGAGCATTTGAATGCTGTTTTAAAAACACAAACTTATTTTGAGCTGTACATTCACTTAAATAGCTTCGACACACAAGTAAGTGAAATATGCCGTGGAAAGCAGTACAATATGTACCAAAAGATCCAAATCTCATACCGGATGTTAGGCATTATCCCGTCTAGACTAACCCTTTCCCGTCTAGACAAAGTGCTTACATAACTACAAATGGTAAAAATTCAAACTGAGTTAACATTCAAACGAAACAATTGATTGACCTTTCAAAGCCTTATAAGGATTTTACGATAACAAAATGTTATTTAAAAACATAAGTAATTGCTCTTAAAGAGTTGAAAGGAGTAATCAAATTAAAGTGAACAAAGCCCTGAATCCTCGAATAGCTGCAGCATGCAACAAACGTCAACGAACTTTAGATATACATTAACCTGAGACAAACAATAAGCCAGCTCTAGTAACTGTCTAGAGCATAATGCATCTCGTATCACTTGCAATTCTATTTCAATTTTATTTACAAAAATTTCAAGTACCTGATACTATATCACGAAATTTACGTGAAATTAAGATTCAACAGAATTTTCGAGCAAAAAAACACGCGTGACTTAAAACAAACAACACAATGAATCACACCAAACGTAGAGTTTTATAAATAACTTCATTGTGTTAAAAGAAGTAATCGATTTGTACAAAAGACTTGATACAGTATATAAATTGTTGAATACTCTACAGTGGTAACACGCCGTGTTCGTAATAGAAAATCAATACAAAAGTGCTCAGAATGAATACTTTAACAGAAAAGTAGAAGGTTCTAGACGCAAGTTTAAATGGCTCGGTGGGAATCACTTTGTGGAATTGGAAACTATCGAGACAACGCGGGGAAATTGAACGAATTCGGAAGTACTAACAGAGGAGGTGCAGCTGAAATTTAATGCACGCAAGTCTAGACGTCTGAAGGGGAATTTATTATAGCTCCGGGATTATGGTAAATGTCTGAATATAAATGTGATACATTATAATGGCGAGACACGAGATCGGAAACGATTTACCTGTGTCTGTTTTTTTATACAAATTCTTTGGAAATATATCAAGACAAAGAAGTGCAGATCAATGTTACATACGAGTGTAATTGCGTTTATGATTCAGCGAATGAAGTAAATTGCTTTGTACAGATACAATATGAATAGAATAATAGAATTTATAAAATATTTACTGTTACAAAGTGTTATAATTGAAAAAAAAAGAAAATTTGTTGCATTATCGATCGAAATTTCGCCATTTAAAATCCTTTAGAGAAATCCTTCGAGGATTTCTACTACTAAAAAAAGCATTTATTCAAATTGTATATGATAATACAGTACTTTGTAAGCCGTATGTATCAAAGCAAATGATTTTAGATAAACATATATCATAAAAACTTATGAGTCATGTAACTGCGTAGTTTTAAGTTTTGAACAAAGAGGCATAAGGATCTATAGGACAAAGGGCTTCCGTACCACGGTAATGTTTTGCTTCGCCATTTGGAGTACAGCCAAATTGTCGATGTCTTTAAATACCTTTAGAACCGATGAATAAGTCGTATTCAGTTCAAACCTGTAACGGTAACAATGACGAGTCACGGGGACCGTTATGACGTGAATGCATTACGTTGTCATTTCGAGTTTGCATGTATTCGAACTGGCATTGTCTCCGTATAACTGTGAGACAAGTCACCAGATTTCATACATTTTGTTCAGCTTATAATCAAGATTTGTCGTCTTTTGTTTTCCCTGACAGTCTTCGGACACAAACAAGACATTGTTCATACTTTCAAGTGCCACAAGCAATAGTTATAAGTTCAATAGTTACTTTGTTATTATGTTAATATTGTAATTGCATTCAATTCCTACGCGAGCGTGTAGCAACGTTCAGTTCAATCGCATTAACATTGTTTTGTTACAGTAAATGTTTATTTTTCCATAGCATTTATTGCGCAGTATTTTAGTTTTCTCGTGCGCTTCCCGGCCACACGGCGAATGTTATTTTTGTATTTCAGCTTTTTTGCAAACATACTTCTTTCTTTAACCTTTTTCTGGTAGTTCGATAGGAAATAGAAGTTTGGTTTACTGCGAACAAATTTGTTTCACAATCAAACAATTGGAAATGTGTTTAAATTTTTGTGATACAAAATAGAAAAGGGGTATGGGAGATAAAATAATGCGCAAAATGAATAAAGAAACTACAAAATATAACTAAGAATAAACAGATGAAAGTTTCGTAATAACGAATGTAATTTAATGAGTATTAAAGATATTTTTAATGTATATACCGTAATCTCACAAAAACATAAACTGCAAGGCGATATAATGCTATTTCTGTCCGCTCGTAAAACCTGAGGCAACTTTAATTTTTATAGCTTTTGGTAATGTCGGAAAACGGAGCGACGGAGTTAATTGCTGAGGTTTGAACCCACGACACGACCTGATTATATCTAGATTGCAGGCAAAAGATTTCATGATAACAAAACTAGGTTGCTAGATCAATTTGAAGAAAACTTCAACTAGGAATTGAGAATAATATATCCATAATTTGTGTAACTATTCAAGAGTAATATTGTTATTTCTACGCTTCATTACAATCCGATTTTCTTCATTAACTATCTAATATGAAGTAAATGCTTAACTTTCACTGCATCAAAACCTTCGCAGCGGAGGTCGCGAAATTTCTCGAAATGCGGCCTCAAACTGGTTCCTACAAAAACCAGAGCTCGCGCCGACATGCCGCGCTGCAATGTCATTATGACTTTGGACTTGAAGCAGTCGTCTCGAAAACGATGAACAAAGATTAGAGAATCAATGCTAACTTATTCATCACAATTTTATTGTCCTTTTCACTCTTGTACATTTCAATAGTGACAAAAATTCGTACGACATTATCTAAATAGATCACGACTGTACCAAGCGAACCAAACACGATCTATATGGTCTAAGTACAATCAAGTACAACACTTCTTATTCTTACGTACCTATTAGGAGAGTGAATTACCAGTTGCAGGCTTTTAATGTCACGACTCCATATCAGCTTCTCGACGTAACTGTATTTGTGTACAGTTACGCTGAAAACACGTTTATCCAGCGGCTGCGAGCGTTGCATAACCGATCGACTTTCACTCGGCCGCCAAGAGGCGGGACAACGATACAAACAAACAATATGCGACAATCTAAGTTCCCATTGCCGAAACATATTTTCATCGCTCACATTCTCTTTGGAAAAAGAAGGACAACAATATATTTTAATACAAGTGATACAATAACACAATTTGTACACAGATTCCAAGAAGGTTGGAGACAACTTACGCTGTCTTTGTTCATTTAAAGACACCAGTATGAAAGTACAAAAGGTTTAGGATATCTTTCTAAGAATCGCTTCAGTTTAAAAGTACCTTTATCAATAGAATAGGTAACAAATACTGAAAAAAAAGCTGGAATTATCTTATAAAATATGAGATCGTTTATATGAAATAATAAAACTATTTGTAATAATCAGAGTATGTAATAAAATTAAACATAACAAACAGTTGGTTTTCCGTAAAGCCGCGCCAAGTCGAGCGCGACATGATGTGTACCGTTGTTACTGAATGTGGGTCGAGTGCGCAAAAAACGACAAGATATACGTGATGTGTGGTGTTTACCGTTACCTACCATCTCCCAACAATCGCTGATATTTACCATTACCTGCCATCGTCCATCCTCAGACCGTCTACCTTGGTACACACTTGGTGTGGTCGTAGTCAAGTGTTAAATGAATTATTAAAAAAAAAATTACTAATAAACACCTTATATAGTAATTCGCAACATCATAACCGTACCGTGGTTAATCTCGCACTTCCCTAACCTGGTTATTGGTTTGTGATGTGTTTGCACTTTCACCTTACACAAAACGTAGTCTCAAGCCCACAGTTTCATCGAAATGTCACACTTTCTAATGCTTTGATCCTTTGTAACACTATTTTTTGGTATATTATCTTTTGTGTATTGTTTAGGTTACAAAAATCCATCGGAGGGACAAACGAAGGTCCGTTGTAAAGCGCTACAAAACCTTGGAATTGTAAACGATTCCAATTCAACGCATATTTGATAAAAATGTTTAATTCAATATAACCTCTAAACCAATTTTTGAGTTTGTTTTGTTTTTTAAGATCTAACTAAAGGAAATTTAGAATAAACCATGGAGAAGGCATAATTTTCTTATAGCGAATACTTGTTTTTAAATTAAAAATATCCTGATGACCTGAATTGTTCTAATATTAATTTTAATTGCAGATTAAAAACTAATCGCAGCAAAATGTGCAACTGAATTTAGATGGCTCCAACTACGTAAGATATCGTAAGTCAAAATTAACTTTCTAAGTCTAATTTCTGTATGGATTTCAAAATAACGAAAGAGAGAATAACGTTCGTATTTGATATGTCGTAATTAATGATATTGAATTTTGTTTTGCAAAACGTGATTCAAACATACTATAGTTTACGTAGGAGCCATCGATTTATTTTTAGCTATCCGTAAGTGTTGGGAACTCGAGTGATATATGAAGTGGCGATATCTTCGAGGTAAAGGAACCGCCTATCCTTGTTTGTATCACAACATACTCATTGCAGCAATAAACTTTACTTATGAATTTGCACATCTTGCTTTACGAGTAAAAATTGATGTTAATACGATAATTAATTAACTTTGTAAATTATATATATTTAATACCATTGTTAAAAGTATTTCCACTCAAAGTTTATAAAAGCCTTTCCTGCTACACTTTCTTCGATTCAAGACTTCATTCTATATTATTCATTCTAATTATAAAATGTAAAATTATGCATAACTATCACAAATAACTTCCAAACCTACACTATTATAAAATAAATATCGACAATTCTCAAGATTAAAAATTACCTTCTGACAGAACTGAGACGTAATTTTCGTCGTTGACAACAGATTAGCGATCCAAAACACACTTTTCACAATTTATTGGACAAATATAAACAGTACAATAGTACGTATAACAAAACAACACTGAATTAACTACAGTTAGCACGGTAACACAAAATTCGCGTGTTGTATGCAAAGTGCAGAGCTACCACGTCCGTCGCGCACGGCGTCCGATCGCAAACAGAGGAGCTGCGCTTGTCAACAAACAAAGAGGGCTGGCGTGCGCAGGCGCAGCGCGGCGCACACACCCGTGTCAATGAACGTGTAAACAGTTCGCTATACGCGGCTCTATGGATCTACGCTCGAAGTAAATAGGCAAACGCATACGACGCATTTACATTTGTTTTGATTTAGAAACACGCTCACTTGTATGTAAATATCCGATATACGATCACGTTTCACAGAAATCCGTCAATGATAATCTCAAGACTAGATAACTGGCTGATCTACCAGTTTTGCGAACGACGTAATATTTTTTATTCGCGAATCTCCTTTCGACCTTGAAGAAGACATGTAAAAATAAGATTGTAACATTTGAGTAAAAACATTTTCATGGTCATTACTACGTAGTTGTGTTTTAAATGTTTACAATTGTTCATTCATTACATTTAATAATAGAAATTCTGTCGGTGGAGCGTTTACTTTGTAGCAGTGTAATTTTCACTTTCAAATTAAAACCTTTATAATAGTTAGTTAACATCAATGCTCCTATTTTATCCTAGACGCAATAGAACACAATAAGTGCGAAGTATAATAGTTCAAACACTGTTATAACATACTCAAACATGTCAGCATCAAAACAATAACATTATGTTATCTCTTGTTATCGTCCGCTAACGATAGCAGACCTACCATCGAACAGCGTGAGAAACAAAGCACGTCGTAAATTACAGAGAAATAAATTACCTTCCCATCTGAAATCGAACATAAAGCAGCACAAAAATATTATACTATTAACATAATTGCGTTCATAGTTAAAGAAATTACCGTCCTTGATTGTACATATCGACAAGAACCACCCACTATCTTTGTTTTAAAAAAAAACAAAACCGACTTCCAAACAAAATACACTAAAAACAAAACAAAATGCACTAAAAACAAAACAAAATATTCTCAAAAAAAACAG